CAGTGGATCCCATGTAGACTAACAAGTCCCAGGATAGTAAACACTGGATTACGTGGGGTAAAAATGATGGATTGGGGTTCGAGGGGTCATTTGATCACCAACACATCACATCCTGTAGACTTTGCACAACCTACAAAAGAGACTCTTATACGGACAAAAGGGGGCCTCTCAGGACCGGTACGGCAAGCAACATATAAAAACAGTTCTGGTCATAGGGTAAGCAAACTATGGAGGGCTACAATGCCATTCCTAATTAGACATATAGCACATGGACACTATTGTAGAAATAATTCCTTGTATCAACTAACTCTCACTGTCATAATGACTCAGTCGTGATGTTTTCCTCTCATCCATATGTCTTTTTAGCAGGACCTGATGTTAGGATTAGTGTGACTAACACTAACATTACTGTAGATAATCCCTACTATTTTAGTTGTTGTATTACAAATCAGAATCTATCTACTGTCAATTTATCGGTAATAATTCCTGTGTGCAGAAGGGCTGAATTATAGCTCCCAATGAATCTAACCAGAAGCTGGGAGGATGATGCAGCATACAGTAAATTGGCAAAACTGTTAATCCAGTCAAGAAATCAAACGAAAAGGTTCATCAAATGACTAATTGCTTTCATCATCTCTGCCGTCATCATTGCAGCTACTGCAGCCGTGGCTACTGTTGCACTGGCCCATTTTGCACATAGAGTGGCCAGTGTGTTGGGTAATATGTCATCATCAATGGTTATGCAAACAAATATAGACCATCAAATATTAGCCAGGTTGGAAGCAGTAGAAGCAACCTTAACATGGATCAGGGACAGACAGGATGCTATGAATAATAGGATGGCTTTAAAATGGGAGCATCAGCATAAATGATTATGTGTCACTCCATTAATATGGAATGACAGCCACTGTGACTGGGCACAAGTTCAAAAACATTTGCAGGGCACTTTCGCCACAAACATCAATGATGAAAGTTCAAGATTTGGCTAAAGCAATAAAATTACAGATGTCCGAAACTCGATCTTTAGGCAAAGTGTCTGGTGGGAGTTGTCTGATAATGTTCAATGGTTAAATCCCAAACATTGGTTTGAAGGACTTAATTTAAGGATCTAGATATTTGTGGCAGTAGCAGGTTTTTTAACAATCTGTCTGTTTTTAATATTTAAAGTCCTCTGGAAGCGTATTGGACAAACCCAAAGACAAGAAGCCCAGGTCCTGGCCCTCTTCGCTGTGAACTCTGCATGTCAAAACAAAAAAGGGGGAGATGTGAGAACAAGCTGCGTCACTCTGCACCTGCATTTAGTTAATCAAAAGGGAGGATCGACCTGGGCTAAGTCCTTTGAGAGAGAGAATGTTATGTCTCAAAGTGGAAAACCACTTTAACCAGCCTGCATGGTAAGTGCGTGTTTTTCTCTTGTGGTTGAACACAGACACCACTTGATGGAAGTGTGAATGTGTGGGATCAGGGCACCGGTTTGGGACGATCTTGGGAATTCCGGATAACAAAAAGAAAAACACTAGATGCTGTTTACGAGAGAATATGAATGAAAGGGGAACACCAAAAAGTGTTGGTGGACAAGTCCCAAAATCGAACCCTGTGTGTGCAGCCTCATTTTCTCCTTCAGCGCCCATACCTCTCCAGCTCTCTTGGAACCCCTTTAGGCACTGGAAGGGACTCTAAGGTCTCTCCGAAGCCTTCTCTTCTCTGGGCTGAACACCCTCAGCTCTCCTAGTCTGTCTCCAGAGCAGAGGTGCTCCAGCCCTTTGAGCATCTCTGTGGCCTCTCTGGACTTGCTCCCACAGCTCCACATCCTGATGTTGAGACTCCAAAGTTGGAGGCAGCACTGCAGCTGGGGTCTCACCTAAGCGAAGCAGAGGGGCAGAATCCCTCCGCTCACCTGTTACCCACTCTATAGGATGAGCGAGCTCAGGACACAGTGGGTTTCTGGTTGCTGGTGCACATGGCCAGGTGCTTCTCATTCACCAACACCCCCAAGTCCTTCTCTTCAGGGCTGCTCTTAATCCATTTTCTGCCCAAACTGTGCTTGAGATTGCCCTGACCCAGGTCCAGGACCTTGCACTTGGCCTCATACCAACAGAATCACACTATGACTTTGGTGATGGTCTCTGGGCCTATGGCAATGACTCCAGCCCATTGAAACTTCAAGCTCCTCTTGCTGCCTCATGCCTTCTCAAGTCCCCCATGCTCCCCTTGATACAATCTCATCATCCTTGTATTGGGCTGACATAGTTTGAGACCCAAAACCAATTTTTCAAACCCCCACAAATTTGCTAAAATGTTGAGAGAAGTTTTCAGACAGGCAACAGACTCAGTATGGGAAAATTATATCAAAATTTATTGCTAACAGAATAGAAACTATAAAGTAATATATACAACAATACTAACTAATTCTCCTATGATAAAACAATGTATTTACAAACATCACCCCTTCTTCCCCCATAAAGTCCAGGAGGAGAAGAAGTCTCTCCTTCACTCTCAGGGCCACAGCTCCAAATTAATTCTGCGGCACTTGGAAGTGTCTCTTAAGGCAGCATTTCTGATTTGTTGTAGACGAAAAATTTCTTTCTCTCTCCATCAGGGTGCGGGGAGCCTCTCTGACCCCCCCACTGGCCACTTGGTTTCACCCAAGGGTTCACCCATAGGTTGCAAGTAGGGACAAACTCACCTCACCATGGTCAACATCACGGGTTACAGGGGTTAAAGTTCTGAGTCTCTTCCCAGTTCCGTGGAGGTCCCATTCCTCGGGGAGCAAGCTCTCGGGGAACCTCTCTAAGAGGTCCACCCCTTCCCTAGGCCAAAAGGTTCTGGAGTTTTTGGGTCAGTCCCACCCCAGAAACATTCCAGCTTGCCTTTCTCTCTGGTGCTGCTTCGAGTCTGCTGCCTGAGCTCTGCTGCCTCTGCTGCTTCTGCTTCAGGCACTGCTTTACTCCATGGTGTGCTTGCCACAGGATCCAACCAGACAATCACCACCCCTCCCCCTGCAGTGAGGGGAGCCGGTGAGGCCAGCCAGAGAACTCCTGGGAAGTTTCTCTCTTTCGCTTTCTGGCTGCTGCATGTCTTAGCTAGGGGCTCAGCTCGGCTTCAGTGCTGCACTTGCCTCGGGCCAAAGCCAGGAGGGGGAAAGCCCTCTGGCCCCTGAGGGGCCCTGCAGCCCCTTTGCTGTCTCTACCCCATGGCTTCTCTAATGCCAACTGCACCAACAAGCTTCTTTTCCGATTTATGAGAATACATCATTTCCGCAGAGGCGTACCAAGCTTCCCATTGGCTCTACACTGGAATTCCACCCCTGGAACTAGCCATCTTCCAGCTCCAGGGGGGGATAATGGGCTCTCAAACCACAACATGGCTTTACATGACCAAGTTTGGGTAGCAGGGGGCTGCAGGGGTGTTCCTTGTTAGAAGACACCAGAAGTTGCCCTCATGTCATGGAGAGCCAGCTTCAGGTGGCTCCAAGATAGAGCTGCTGCTGGCCAAGGCTGAGTCCGTCAGTGATGCTAGTAGTGTCTGCAAGAATGGATTTAAAAAGGGGTAAAAACTGCTGTGGAACGGCAGCTGGGAGGGAGGGAGGGACGAGAAGATGAGAGAGCAACAGCCCTGCAGGCACCAAGGCCAGGGAAGAAGGAGGGGTAGGAGGTACTCCAGGTACTCAAGAAGCCTGGTGAGGCAGAGCAATCCTGCCATGGTGAGGCAGAATTTTGCCCCGTAGCCCATGGAGGTCAGTGGAGGAGCAGATACCCACCTGCAGCCCCATGTGAAGGACCTCACTCCACAGCAGGTGGAGATGCCTTGAAAGAAGCTGCAGCCTGTTAAGAGCCCACACTGGAGTAGGTTCCTGGCAGGGGCTACGCTCTGTGGAGAGGAGTCCATGCAGGAGCAGGACTTGACAGGAGCTGTCACCTGTGGGGGACCCACACTGGAGCAGTGTGTCCCTGAAGGACTGCAACCCATGGAAAGGGACCCAGAGTGGAGCAGTCCTTGGAGAACTGCAGCCTGTGGGAAGGATCCACATGGGAGAAGTTTAGTGCAGGACTGCCTCCCATGGAAGCAGCCTCATGCTGGTGCAGGGAAACAGTGTGAGGAGGAAGGACCAGATGAGACAAAGTGTTATGAGCTGACACCAATCCACATTCTCCATCTCCTGCAGTGGTTAGGGGGAGGAGTTACAAGGACCAGGAGTGAAGCTGAGCCTGGGAAGAAGGGAGGGGTGGGGGAAAGGTGTTTTCAGGTTTGTTCTTATTTCTTATTTTCCTACTCTGTTTAATTGGTAATAAGTTAAATCAATTTCCCCAAGTTGAGTCTGTTCTTACTGTGACAGTAATTGGTGAGTGATCTTCTGACCAATGGGATTTTCCTCTGTCATAAGTTTACTTGTTCTAAAAATCCAAGCAGGAATTTTTCTTTCCCCTGTCCCACTGTAAAAGAAAGATGCTGAACTAACTGGCAGGACCGCATTTCAAGCTGATGCCCCTCTCTAGGGCTGGGGGGGTGATGAGTTTTTTTTTCTTTCCCTCCTCTCCTTGGAAACAGGGACATGGGGCTTTTGTCTTAACTTAGGCAAGGTGTGTGTTGAAAAGGTCCGGGGCTGTTTTGCTCTTGGCTTGGTCATCTGGCTGTTTTCTGGCCTCAACTTGCCTGCACTCTGCTCTGCCCCCAGCCCAGACCTGCTCAGACTTCGCTGGAGAGGTCTGGCCCTCCTGCAGAGGAACTTTTTGGGTAGGGGGTCGCTCTTTTCCCTCCTCTGCTCCCGTATTTTGGCAGTGGTTTGTGCCCATTGACGAAGGGGGGGGGAGGGAAATCCTGGCCACAGCCAGCTGCAGACAGCATGAGTTTTTCATGGGAAGAACCTGCCCTTCTTTCCCCTTTTCCCCTTCCCCTCCTCGGTGTGGGGGGAAAATCTCCATTGTCGGCTTCTCCCGTGCTCTGGGGTTCCTGCTGGCAACACAGAGCGCTGCAGGCTCTGCTGCTCCAGTGATCCAACAGCGCCCCTGCCGACAGTTCTCTAAACCCCTTCATCACCATCTCCACCTTCCACACACCACCAGCCACCCATGACCTCTCCATGTCCTCTGAGTCCACTGTCAGTGAAGGGTCTACCAGCACTGCAACATTTATTATTGTACTTTATTTCCCCTGCTCTCAAGGCATGCCAATGGCACAGGCTACCCCGCAACATCCAGTGGCCTTGCCAATCTACTTCCAAAGCTCTCCTACCAGGCCTGGACAGTCTGAAATTGCTTGTGACAGGCCTGTGGCAAGTCCATGATGAGTCCACAACAGGTCCATGGTGGGTTTCTGGTGGGCCCATGGTGGTCCCTTAGCACAGCTGCCAGTGACCCTCTCTGGGGACATCCTCACTTTCTGCCCACATGGTCCTTCAATGTCCCCAGCACTTTCTGTGCCTGCTTCAGGACCTCCTCTTCATCCACACTGGGGAAGGCCTCGCTGGGGGTCATGGGGAAAGGGTGGTAATTTGGGTACTGTGTGGCCTTTCCATCCATGCCCTGTTTACATAACCACTGCATGTCCAGTACCAGGCCCCCCAGTTCTGGCTCTTTCGCCTCCAGCCATTTGGCAAGGCCCATCAGCCCTCCCAGGCCCTCAAAGGCTTCACCACGGCAAAGTACAGCAGCCACCAGTGCCTTCTCCAGGGCCTGGTGCACTTTGAAGAGGACCCAGTTGGGGCAGCAGCGCCGAATGTCATTGTGGGCTGCCTGCAGGTCACTCGTGGCCTGACGCAGCCACCGTAGGGCCTCGGGGATGGACGGAGTCAGGGCCATGGGCTCCTCAGTGCTCAGCCTGGAGCCACAACCTTTCTGTCCCCAGTGGTTCTGGGCAGTGCTCACAGGTTCGTACTGGACGCAGAGCTCCTGCAACACCTTTGGCCACCTGACATCATGCAGTGGCCTCAAGGCTGCAAGGCCAGGATCCACATCGCCACTCACCTTCCATGGCTTCCCCTCTGCCACAGCCTCCTCCTGCAGCCTCTTCTCCAGCTCTGGTGCAGCACCCACCAGTGCCACATTGTTCTCCTCCATAACAAAGGCCACATCCTGTGGCTCCTGGCAGACTAGCATTTCACGCAGCACGGACAAGGCAGATGCCTCCAGCTGTCCACCCAGCATGTTATTGATCTCCTGTGCTAGTGTCTCCAGGACCCTCAGCTGGTACCGGTTCAGCACCATCTCTGCATGCCGGATGTAGAGGAGCCGCTGGGCACCACCTGACAGGCACACATGGATGACCCGTGACTGGGAGCTGCCCTCCACCTTTGTCCCATTGTGGAGCAGCACAGTGCAGATGTTCTCACAGCACTGCACTTTCAGCTGCTCCACTGCAAAGCCACCATCCCCGTCCACTCCCATCACAGCCTTGTGGCTCTGCCACTGGAGCAGGGACACCAGCCCCAATCTAAACCATGGTGATACCAGGAGAGTCTGCAGACGCCTCTGCCCAGGGCAGTGAGAGCCATAGCGACATGGCCATGGACTGCCCTCCTCCAGCTGCTGCTCTGTCACCTCTGAGAGTGCCCGTGGCCGCAGGTGTGGTGGTAGCATTTGCAGCAGCCACCTGGCATTACATCCTGTCACTGGCAGGTCAGCCATGAACAAAAAGGTCTTCTTCAGGGCCTGAGCAGTCTCTGAGGGCAGGCAGTCATTGAAGCACAGCCTGTGGGATGGCTCTAGGCAGTCAGCAGTGCTCAGTAGGTACAGCTTAGCCACAGCAGAACAATCAGGGGGCTCTGGTGCCTCCCGCAGCAGCTGGAAGAAGTGCCGTGTGGCCAGCAGGACCACCTTCTTCTGAACACTAGTGAGGGTCCCACTGACATGGCTCTCCTGGTAGATTTGGGCCAGGACATGGCTGTAGTGAGTCAGTGTGGGGAACGTCACTACCCCAAGGTGTTGCAGGAGGTCTCCAAAGACAGCCACATGTGGGTCAGGCTTGAGGAGGTAGGGGTAAAAGTCAGCCTCATCTGGGAGCGATGTCACCACTTGCCGTGGCCTGGCCATGTCTCCTGACTTGGTCAGCACCACAGGCAGCTCAGCAAGGTGCTCTGCATCCACCTCCTTCAGACGAGTCTGCAAGAAGCTGTACATGTTCTGGAGCACTTTGGCCCGTGTGATCACCTGTTGTGGCGTCTGGCAGGCTGCCCTGCACACATGCTCCAGGTTGGTCACCACCAGGGCAGTGGGTACCTCTACAAGGACTCCCATGGCCTTCAGGAACTTCTTCTCGAGTTCAAGGGACTCTGGCAGAATGGTGGCTGATGTCCACAGCAGCTCAGCCACATTTTGGCAGTGGTAAATGCTGCCCTTCAGGGCCACAGGCTTAATGCAGGTTGCAAAAGGGGGATGGAGGTTGCTCAAGCTTTGGGGGATGGCCAGTGGAGGCAGGAAGTGGATTGAGGCAATTTGCTCTGGGAAACCTGCTGATTCAGTATTTTCCAACAGGGTTTCAAGCTCTTTGAGCATCTCCTCCTGTCGCTTCAGCAGATTTGCAGTGTGGCAGGTAGCCTGAGCAGCTTCATGCTCTATCTCCTGGGCCAGTGCCACAAAATCCTCTACAGAGAGACTGGTGCGGACCCCTGCCTCTAACAGAAACTCTTCAACTGCCAAATTCATCCCTAGCTCCTTAAAGAAAGATTTAGGCACAAAGCGGTTTTGGAGCCCCAGAGTGCGGAAGGAGGGCGCATTGATGTAAAAGTAGGAGGCTAAGCGCAGTGTACCACGGGCATCAGGTATAAAGGGCACATTCTGAAATGCTGCCACAACAGCCTTCCTGGTCTGACTATCACAGATGGGTTGCAGGACAAAGAACAACCGTACAGCTTCCATAAGGTCTTGTTGAGTGAGCTGGGACAGCCGGGGTAGCACCACGGTGATGAAGAGCTTTCGGTCATCAGTGTCCTCCCATTTCAAATCCTTGGCCAGCCGCTTGTGGATTGGGTCTGATGTGAGCAGCACCGTGTCTTTGTCCAGGTTGTACAGGGCTTGGGCACCCAGGGGCACTTCCAGGTACTGTCTGTGGAGCAACAGTACCTTGCGGTAGGCAGCCACTGCTACATAGCCCCCACCAAATTTCCGGAAGAGAGGCAGGAGCCGGAGCTGCTCCAGTGCACACGAATCCAGCTTTCCCTGCACAAAGCACAGCAGAGTAGTCACATGCTCCTCCTTTAAGTCCCCCCAGCAAAGATCAGCTCCAGTGTCTGCCAGGTGGGCCACTACAGCCCTGGGCTCTGTGACCTGCAGTGCCCTTGGCTTCAAGCAGAGGTGGGCAAAATCAAAGGGTAGCAGGGACCACTGGAGCATAGGGATGCCCAGTTTGTGCAGCACCTTTTCCACTTCTGAGTGACAGTTAAAAAGAACTCTGGAGAGGGAGGATAGTGGCACTAGGTGCTTTGAGTCTGTCTTATTCCCCTGAATAGGCAGCACTGCCATGTCCTGGAGATGATCCATGAATGACTTCATGTTTGCATCCAACTCCACTGAGGCCTTTCCCTGTGTGTGGACAAAACTGTCAAAGAAGGTCCACAGTCCCTTGAGCCACTTTTCCCCCTCTGGGGTCCACTTCAGCTGACCCAGTGCCTCCTGGATGAGTGGTGTGGCTTCTGGGAGGCCAAGCTCCTTCACAAAGCAAGGTGGGATCCAATCAGGAACACACTTTTGGGCAAAGCGGTGCTTGTGGTGGGGGAAGAGGTGGGCAAAGGAGTTCTTGAAGACTGGATGACGGACGCTGAGAGTATTCAGATAACCATCTTGTGTGGCTAGCAAGGGCAAGCCTTCCAGTTCTTCCTTGTCCACATCCTTGGGAGCACCGTGGGAGTACCTGCTCCATCCTGCTAAGTACTTCAGCAGGATGGAGCAGCTCTCCGGGGTCCCCAGGGATGTCTCAGCCACCTTGCAAGGCACAGGCAGAGCCAGGGCCTTGAGGAAGCACTGGACAGAGGCGGGGCTTAAGGCAGCAGCGCTCACCTGGGCTTCAATGAACTGCTCATGGATCTGCCGCAAGTGGGTGAATGCTGGAACCAGTTTCATGTTCAGGTGCTGCAGCACCTTCTGAACATCTGGGTCTGGCGTCACCTCAAGAAAGTATGGCTCTGTTAGCACATCCTTTCCACCTGGAGATGCCCAGGTTATTGTCACCGTGCTGCCAGGTGACTTCTCGTGGTACACAGGCACCAGGGGCAGGCGTGCATGACTCAGGTGCTTATAGACCTCCCTCACCATGTCCTGAAAGATAGGGAGCACCCTTGTCACAATAGGGAAAAACCGGAGGAAGTGTAAGTCCAGGTGCTGCTGGCAGAGATTCAGGGACTTGTACCGGAGCTCTTCTGGCCCCAAGGCTTTCCACTGCCTGGTGAGAAAGTCACAGTATAGTGGAACCACCAAGTGCCGGAGCAAGAAGTCATTCCAGGCTGCCTCTGTGCAGCCTTTGTCCCAGCGAAGACTGCGTCTGGCTGCATCCACAGAGAAGTTGGCATTGATGTGCACAGGCAGCCCAGTTTTCAACGGCAGTGGGAGGGTACAGAAAGCTTTGCCTGTGATTGTGTTCAATGGCTCCAGGCAGGCAGCCACAGCCCCATAGGGCAGACACTCAAGCACCGGAGACTCCTCAGCCCCCTTCTGCATCCCAATTTGGGAGATCACCCTCCACACAGTTCTGGTCTTGGTCTTGCTGTTTTTGACTTTCATGATATAGGAGACAGAGGTGGGGCCGTTCCCATCCATGGCGTGGCTTAATCTTGCTTGAAAACCCCGTCTCAGCTCTGCATCACCATCTGTGAGCTCTGTTGTCACCCGCAGCCTCTCCACCAACTGTTTCCCATCTGGGGGGATCTCAGAGAAGACCACAGTGTGGATATGTCGGAGGAAGAGCACCAAATCCTCACCTTCCTCAGCCAGTGTTTCCTCTATGTTCACAAGGTCTTGGTCTCGCACGACCATGTCAGACACCCTGGAGTTGGGAGCCTCAGCTGCAGTGCGGAGTGGCAGCCGGAAAAGGACACCCTGACTCAGGTTGAAGAGGGAGGGTAGGAAGGTGTCATAAACATCTGGAAAATTCTTCTTGAATTCAGGGTTGACAGCGAACATCCCACCAGGCTTCTCAGCTGTGGCTATGGGCACGTAGTAGAGATGGGGGTCAGAGACACACAGGGCACTGTCTCCAGTCAGGAAGGCTGGGCAGTCAGTAAAGTGGAAGACAGTGTTGAAGCCAAGGCCATATTTGCCTGTGACATCCTGCCGGCCTTGCTTGCCACCCACCCCCAGACGCTGAATGCCTTCAATGTCCTGCTGCTGGAAGGGCCTGTCATTGTAGATGCAGAGGGCAGGGCCCTGCAGGACGTTCCATTTCTCACTGAAAGTGGCTTTCACTGGGTGCTGCCGGCGGTCCCACACAAAGTGCACAAGCCCTGCACCAGCATCATCTGCATTCTGGAGCACCTCTTTCACCATATCAGAAGCCGATGCTGGGTACTCCTTTAAGATGTTCTTCAGACGTGTTGGCAAGTCTTCACGGGCACCAAATGGCTGTGCCCAGAGGGTCAGGTCATCAGTGATGAGCTGACTCCTCTCCAGTGCTCGGTGAAGTGTGGTAGGCACCCCACAGCGCAGGGCTGCAGCTCGGGACAGCTGTTTATGGCACAGGAGGACATCTCTGTCCAATTGCATCCATGGTGTATCATTGAAGTGAAGCTTGTCCTGTGGACGCAAAATGCCCTCCTCATCAGGCAGAAAGAGTCGCTGGGTCTGGTAGGCATCTGGCTTGTTGCCATCTTCCATCAAGCCACAAGACACCAGCCGCAAGGCCAGAGCCAGCTCCAGGGCAGGCAGCGGCTTTCCAACATGTGTCTCTGCCAGGGTGCAGAGCACTCGGGCATAATCATCCCAGGTGAAGGTGTGGCGCAGCCCCACACACTCCCAGAGTTGGCCATAGCGCTTGTATTGCTTTTGGAGCTGATGAAGGTATGGGACAGCGTCAAATGACAGTGTCTCAGCCACAGCTGTGACTGGCACAAAATGGGAGCCCACCAAGATGAAGGGTTCCCCTTGGGCCACTGCAGAAGCCACTTCATCCCAGCTGGAGTGACCTTTCTGGAGCAGCATGTTCAGGTGCTTGTAGCAGCAGTTGGTGCTGTCCTGCAGGTTCTCCAAAGGAAGAGAGTTGGAGCTACAGCTCAGTGCCTGCAGCTGCTTAAGGACTGTAGCTGATGGTATCTGCCGGTCCAGTCCCAAGAAGGATATAACCTCCCTGGGGAGACTGAAGTTTTCCCCCAGTGCTTTAGGAGCCAAGATAGGGTGAATGAGTCCCACTAGTGGGGCATGGAGGTGATGGTAGAGCTGGGCAGCTGGCAACAGCACATGTTCACCAGAGGGCAGTGTACCAGGGAGGAAGGGCACAGTCTGGAAAGCAACCTGCAGGGTATTGTTCACTCTCTCCTTCACTGCATCCTGAAGCAGCTCAAGGATACAGGCAGCCCTCTGGCAGCCTTGAGCACGATTCTTGGTCCAGACAAGCTGCACGGTCTTTGCCCGCTCCAGCAGCTCTGGCAGGGCCATTGTGTTCTTCACCATGCCCAGCCTCTCCAGTTGGTTTAGTCTCTCTGGGGAAAGGAAGGCATTCCCAGTGGGGAAGCACCCATCCTTAGGGTCATATAAAGGGGCAGCACGGCCTCTGGGATGCACCAAGCGATTGATGAGCTGCAGGTGGCCATGAGGGGTGGCAGGAATGCAGGGCACTGTCTGCAGCACTTTGTCCACATCATCATGGGCCATATCCAGTGCATGGAGAAGCAGTGGGTTCCGGTCAACAGCAGAGAGCTTTTCCAAGTTGGGAAGCACGAGATCACAGTAAAAGCGGGGCCAGTCATAGGTGCCAGCATCCACTGCCTTCCCAAGGCCCTTCTGCACATGCTCTGGCAAGGCCACAGCTAACAGGGGATGGGGCACAGTGGTGGCAAAGACACGCTTCGCCACATCACCCAGCTTGGGGTGTCTGTCCACATTCTGGTGTAAGAAGCAGGCATCCTGCAGTGAGCACCATGAGCGGCCATCAGAAAAGAGCCTGGGGCCATTCCTGGCTGCCACAGCATGGTAGAAACCAGTCACGGCCTCTGTAAAGGGGTAACGGGCAGTGTTAAAGTCTGGCCAGAAGAGATGATACTCATAGTTCTTCAACTCACCTGCCTCATGCATGGCACGGAGGTGGTCTAGTGCCTGGAGCCAGGCAATCGGCACAGCATTGCGGAGCAGCAGCCGGTTCCACTTACCCCGCTCCGCGGTGTCCCACAGCCCCTTGCGGTTTGAGAGGATGCTGAAGGCCCCATGCACATGGATTGGTAGCCCTGAGATGACTGGTATGGGAAGGTGGCAGAAGACTTGCCCCTTCTCGCCATCCAGGCGCGGTACCCACTTGCCATCTTCAGTAAGGGTAAGGGGAAGGCCCACACCAGCCATGGGATGTGGAGGACAGAGTCCTGCCCGTGTGTCCTGGTGAAACAATTCCAGCAGTTCCCCATTACCCTGACACACCAAAACCAAGTAGTGCCGTATGGTCTTGGATTCCTCCTCGCAGGCTGAGAGCTGCTCAATGGCCGCCCAGCCTGGGGGGTCCCCAGGGGACACCAAGTCTTGGATCTCCTTTCGCCGCAGTGTGGCCAGAGGTATGGTATTCTCTGCAGAGGAGGCCATATCTGGCAGCATCTCCAAGGACAGCTCCCTCACCTTCTTCAGGAAGAGCAGCAGGAGCCAGTTAGAACCAAGGAAACCAGTGCCAAGGGACTGGATGCGCTCTGTACCAAAGGCCTCTGAGCAAATCTGCGATGTAATGGCTTCCTCTTCAGTGCGAAAAGGCAGGCGGAAAAGGCTCCCTAGAAAGGGTCCTGGCTCAGGCAGGCAGCACCCAAAGATACCATGGTAGGGCTGGAACTGCTCAGCAAAGACACGGAGGATGCGTGGTCGGCTGGAGAAGTCCAGGCGGATGCCAGGGCAGCCGGCCCTGGGGATGTGTTTGCCCAGATGGATGCCATTGGGATCAAAGATGAGCAGTGTCTCCCCACTCAGCACTGCTGGCACATCTGTGATACGGTAGACAGAGCTGAAGCCCAGCCCAAAGCGCCCAATCCGGCCTGCCTGCCCCTCCTTTGTAGCAGCCCCAATCCGCGTGATGTTACGGAGGTCATCCTCTGTGAACAGGGCATTGTTGTAGACCCAGAGGGCTGGGCCGTGGCAGGCAACCATGCCTGGGTCTAGCAGCCCAGAGGTGGCCTTTCTGCAGCACCGGAGGTCCAGGAGGAAGCGGCACACAGTAGCTCCGGCATCCTCTGCATTCTGGACCATCTCTGTGAAGAGGTCGCTCTCTTCGCCATACTCCCGGAGGATGTTGCGGAGGCGTAAGGTGATGGGCTCCGAGGGGCCACAGGCTGTGAATGGCTCTGGCCCCAGCACCCGCATACTGAGTAGCTCTGCACCAAGGAATATGGCTGTGCTGGATGGTACTGCCTCATGCACCACCTCCTGAACATCCTCCTCATCGTCCAGCTCCATGTCTAGGTACACGGTAGAAGCAGCTGGGCAAAGGGCAAAGCCTGAGCCCTCCGGAATCCTCACAGGAACCGGCACGGTGCCCTCGCCCTGGTGCCCCCGACTCTTCAGCCACTCCAGGACAGCTACGACCACCTGCAACTCTGTGGCAGTGCCCGCTCTGGAGCTGCGTGTGTTTATGTCCTGCCTCAGGTAGCGCAGGGCTGACACTGCCCTCTCCTCACTCACCCCCACCGCCACCCCCCAAGCACTGAAGAGGCAGCTGTAGGGCAGGAAGTCAGGGGGCACGTGGGGCACCAGCATCCCCAGCTCCAGCTCCTCAGGATAGCCCAGCACGGCATCACGTGGCAGGACAAATCCAGACCCAGTCCACACCACAGCATCATCCGGGGCGGTCCTAAAGACCTCCAGGTTTTCTTGCATGTGCCAGTAAATGGGCTGGAGAGCGGAACCCACCTTATCCATGTTCCCATGCCCTGCCAGCTTTCTCAGCTGCTCCCACACTCTCTCTGGTGGTGGTCTGGCTCAGCCCCAGCTCTTTCTCTGCCTCTGGCAAAAAGGCATCAGTCAGGGGCATGGCAAGCCCCACTAGGCACTGGTACTGAGTGGATCGCAGCTCCCTGGGCGGCAGGAAAGGCTGCCCAGGCATTCCAGTGCACTTGGAGCAAGGCACCCATGGCAGGGCCTGAAGCCTCTGGAGCTCTGCAGCACTGAAGCCAGTCAGTGCCTTGGGGAGGTTGCAGACCTTGATCAGTGCCTCAGCCCTGTCCAGAGCCACTGTGTCACCCTGACTCACTTTTGCTGCAGCCGAGAGGATGTCTGAAGGCAGCAGACACCCCTCACCGTGCCGCAAGCCCAGGGCCCTCAAGGCACGGAGGACAGAGAGACTGTGGAAGGCAGCAGGAGGAAAGCGCTCAGGTCCCAGCAGCGCCTGCAAAGTGCTGTCGCAGGGGTCGTAGAGGTCTCGTGGGCAGGCAGGGCCATTGGGGGTCTCCAGGAAGGCCAGCTCACTGCAGGCTTGCCGGAGCAGGGGGCTCTGTGCAAAGGCAACCTCTCCGTGCTGCAGCACCCACAGTAGCAGAGCCTGTGTCTCAGTTGCCCGCCCCTCATAGGCGCCTTGGGCCACGGCTTTGATGGCCTTCAGCATAACGTGGGTTGCACTGATGAGGGGCCTCTGGAGCCTCCCAAGGAGCTGCTGGTCAGCTTCATCTCGGCACTGCAACATGGCCTCCGGCAGAAGCACATCTCTGGGCATCTCCAGCTCTGGCTCCAGCATCGGGGTGGCATTAGCCGGTACCAACTCCGTGGGCTGTGGGGTGGCCAAGCAGGGCAGTGGCATAAAGAGAGGCAGAGCAGCCAAGGTGGCCCTGTCCTGCTCTGTCAGGGATGGGACATCTGCCAGGTAGAGTCGGAGGGTGACCACATCCACATCAGGCAGCGAGGCCATGCGGGAGGCCACTGCTACAACCCCCTGCCTGCCCAGGGCTCGCAAGGCATTGAGGGGGGATGGAGGCAGGACGTAGCGGGACAGGGAGCGGTGCCACATGCCCGGTGGCACCACTGGGCAACCCAGGACCTCCAGTACAGAGGCCACAGCAGGTGGCAGGTGCTGGTCCTCCCATGCCTGGAAAATGAGACTGGACTCAGGTATAAGCAGAGCCAGACAGATACTGGGGGCATCCAGTGGGGACAGGGATATGAGAGGAAGCCCCTCCAGCGGGCCCAGGTCTTCCACGTGGTGGGCCAGGAATTGCCACAGGGCTGGGAACCAGGAGGCTGGGGGCTGGGGAGGTCCTTGGGCCGGGCACCAGTTCACTGGGGTTGAAGACTGGGATGTCCAGGTGGGGGGCAGAGCCAAGCGCAGGGTCTGTACAGTCACAGCTGGGTCCAGCAGAACCAGGTTGGGGAAGAGACCTGTGTGCAAGAGGTAGAGGCTGGACTAGAAGCACATGGGACCTGGGACCTGACAGGGGGACCCAGGATGTGGGGGAAAGAGCCTGAGATCTGCAGGGGATGGGTGGCCCCCCATACTGGAGATGGGAGGACCTGGGTTCTGGAGGGATAGTGGATACCCTGAATAGGAGGACAGTAAAACCCCAGACTGGTGGAGATAAAGGAAATCTGAGAAAGAAAAGAGGTATTAGGGGGACCAGTATTAGGGGGCACTGGTCTTCAGATGAGGAACACAAAGACACCCAGAATCCAAGGGAGCACAGGGGGGACAGGGGAATGTGGGAAGAACAGCAAGGACAGTGGAGTCCCCAGAGACACAGGGAGATACAGGGAGATACTGGGGCTGCAGAGGAGCCCCAGGCTATACGAGGGTGTTGGTGTTTAGACGGCAACCAGGGGACCGAAGATAGTCCAGGGCCCCCCCCTCTCTTACCTGTCTTGGCAATGCCTCGCAGGAGGCTGTCCAAGCCCAGCTCCAGGTCTGAAGGCAGGAAGGACCCCATCAGGCCAGGCAGGAGCTCCCTGTGGGGACAAAGAGTGGTGCTGGGGGACTAGAGGGGTAATGGGGGGCAGGTAGCTTCCTAGACACCTGCTTCAGCTCCCACTTGGTGACACCAGGTGAGAAGAGGGCAGTGAGGATCCCAAATGTCCAGGTTCAGCTGTGGTCCCCCTTTCCAGCTCAAGAGTGGGAGCTGCACCTCTGGGCAACTGGCTCTCCTGTCCGCTCCACAGGGAATGGGGCTGTCAGGGGTTGAGGGCTTACCTGGGGCAGTCGGATGTGTCCGCGTAGACAATGGTTGATGCAGTTCCAAAGGCCACGAAGGTCCCATCAGCGCGAGGCAGGAGGGGGAGACCCCGGAGCTCAGCATGGCACCCATCCCCGACCACGTAACGCAGCAGGGAGAGACGGTCGGCAGCTGGGAGGTCGATGGCCCCATGGCGCCGCAGCACCTCCCGCACATGTCCCGCTGTGGCCTCCCGCATGCCCTTCGGCATCGCCAAAGCCAGCGCCCTCCACACGTGGGCTGGGACCTCAGCCAACGGCTCCCCAGCTGCCACCAGCAAGGCCCGGACTGCCTTCTGTGCAGCCACGTCCCCCACAGCCTCTGGCAGCAGCACAGCCTCTGGCAGCAGCACAGCCTCAGGCGCCCGCAGATGCCCTGCCACCCCCTCTGCAGCTGGCACCAGGAGAGGGGCAGCTGCCAGTTCCTGGCAGACACGGGTCACCAGGCTGCAGATCCGGCCAGAGCTTGGCATGCACTCAGGGTCTGGCCAGATGCCGTAGACATCTGTGCCAGGTAGAGCCATGGCCACAGCGGCCAAGTGGCTGTAGACCCGGGGCAGGAGGTCAAGCAGCAACAGGGCGTTCCAGCAGGCATCTTCCTCGCCCTTCTCACCCTGCTCAGGCCAGCGGAGGTGGCGGCGGTCATCAGAGAGGGCGAAGGGAGCACTGACATGGACGGGTAGCCCCGTGGCCATCTCGTCAGTGGCTGGCAGGGGCAGGAAGCAGCAGAGCCGCCCTTGGCAGGGTCCACGGAGGGGGCGTGCCAGGCTCAGCTCTGGGCAGCACCCTAGCCCTGTGCCCAGTGCCATGACTGGCCCCTCTGTGGCCCTGCCTGTGGCTACCAGCCACTCGCTCACGTCACCCACCCCATTCCCATGCAAGGCCACCAGGCACCACGCCAGACTCAGCCCCTCATCCCCTGATGGCACTGGGACAGGGAGAGGCTGAGGGGATGCCACAAGAGTCCCCATGAGTGTCTGGACCCCATCAGGGGCCACACGGTGCAGGGCCACACAGCGGACATGGCGGAGGAAGAGGAGGGCAAGAGGGCCATCAGTGAGGAATGTCTGGATGAGGCTGCAAATGCGCTCAGGATCGGAGACCCCTGCAGCGATTTCTGAGGGTTGCCGGCGAAGGGGAAAGCGGAAGAGGGTGCCCTGGGGAGAGGCACGGTGTTGTCCCACAGCTTCCAGTCCAGCCCAGAAGGGCTCGAAAAGGCCGGGAAAGTCCTGAGCTGCAGAGATGTCCCAGCGCTTGCCAGCACCTGGCAGCACCCGGCATTCGGGGTCCAGCACCCCCAAGTATGGGGGGCTCAACACACCTGGCAGGTCTGGAGACATGAGAACCATGAGGCCTTCACAGGGATGACATGGACACCACTGCCTCCCCAGATCATCCTAACCTATCAGTAACCCAAAGGTCCATCCAATACTCCCATCTCTACAGTGCTTCCCATGATCCAAAGCCTAATCCCAATTCATCAGCTCTCCCTCCGTTTTCTGCTGTTGCTCTGCCCTCCACTGCCACCTAGCCTCCCTTCAGCCTCCTGGTGCTTCAGATTTCCTCACTTCACACTGCCCTCCATTTTGCATACCTCACTACCCCCCAGTTCTCCCCCGCTCCTATAGTTCAGAACCTCCAGTAAAACCCATGTCCCCAGTTCAATCACAGTTGAGGTTTCCGGTGCTACTCACCAGTGAGGTGGTAGACAGAAGTGAAGCCCAAGCCGAAGCGCCCCACAGTGTGGGGATCCTCCCGCTTGTGCGACACCCCTGGGCGCTGAATCCCTGTCCAGTCCTGAGGTGACATCACAGCATCATTGTAGGCCAGGAGAGCTGGGCCTGGTGACCAGGACCATGAGTTAGGGGAGAACTGGGACATGTAGGGGGCTCTGTGACCCAGACTCAGTGTTCCCACAATCTCAGTCCCATGAAATGCTCCTAAGTACCACTGAGTCTTCCCAGTACCCTTCAGTGACCTCAGAACATCCCAAAACCCCTCATCAGCTCCAGTTCCCCCAGTTCCCTGATCATTCTTCAATTCTTCACCAATATCACCCAGTCCGTCCCAGCATCAGCCAGTGCCACCCCAGTGCTTCATCTGGTCTCTCCCAGTGCCCATAGCACCTCTCACCCTGGGTGCCCTCCAGTCCCCCTCCGTTGATGCTGAATTCTCGCTCATCGGACACAAACACGACCTCTTTAGCGCCAGCATCATCCGCATTCTGCACCAGCTCCTGGAATTAAGAATGAGTGCATGGTCACCTGGGCTGTCCCAGGCCCATGAGAAAAGCACTGACCTTCTCTAGCTGGGAACCAAGGTCCTGGAACTGGTGCTGGGCAAGGACCAACTGCCCCCACTGCCTGGGTTGGTCTGCCCAGCTGGGCAGGAGAGTCTGGATAGGTGGGTTCCCTGGGAGTCTCACCTTGAGGATTTGCCCCCCATCTGGGTACTTCTGCAGGATGCTGTGCAGGTAATCAAGGAAGACGGGTGCCTGCTGGCAGAAAGTCTCCCTGTAAAGCAGAGAGAAGGGGAAAGAGTGTGGGGGAGGGTGCGTAACCAGGACTCTATGTCCTCCTTGAATCCCCCAGATGTCCCCTTCCTCGGAGTCAAGGACCCCATCTTTTCCCAGGACTCTCTGAAACAACCACCTCCAAGGACTACACCCACACTTTCCCAGGGTCCCCACCTCTTCCTGGAATGCTCCAATGTCCTGGTTTTGGCTGGGATAGAGTTAATTTTCTTCCCAGTGCTGTGTTTGGGATTTGGCAGGAGAACAATGCTGGTAACACACTGATGCTGGAACTGGTGTTCAGTCATGCTTATTCCAAGTCAAGGACTTTTCAGTGTCCCATGTGTCAGAGACTGAAGTGTTTGATGATTTATGCATTCTAGGAGACTTTTGCAGGCTTTTGACTTTTTGATGGGCAACTGGGCCCATCCCCCCTCCTCCAGCACAGATGTCAAGCCCAACAAGGCGGGAAGAGCCGAGCTTGCAGGCTTTTGACTGTTGCACTGTACCTCTGATGGCCCATAGAAGCCCATCCCCCCTCGCCAGTCGGGAAAAGGGCGGGAACCAGGCCAGACACAGCAGCTCTTGCGCAGGGCCCAGGGAGAGGTTGGAGGCAGGAGGCATGGCCCGTGACACTGATCATGGATATGATAATTCATAACTTCTTGGAGTGTGGGGGCTTCCCTCCTTCACCCCCAGCAGATCAAGGCCACCACTTCAACCGACAGACATGGAAGCTGCAACTATCAAATTTCATCGCTGGACCCCGTGGGTGGTGACTATGGACATCTGTCCACTCTCAGCTTTTCTTTCCCTTACTCTCCCTTGCTCTTATCCCGCCTTTCTCTCCCCTATGCATTTTTCTCCTCCCCAGAAAGGTTATGACAGCACCCAAAAATGTTAACTTACCTCTTGATTCAAAATTGTTAAAATAAATCTTATCAATATATGTTTTCATACACCGATTATTTAGTGTCGTTTCCCTTTAATCCACCCCAAAGGAATTTTTGATAAAACCTGGGTTACCCCCTCCCCCCTCTTTTCCTGGGGCGGGTCGTAACACCATGCTCTGCCAGCGAGGGGGGAGCATGGCCAGAAGAGCCGACTCAAACTGGTTGGGCGCTAAGAAAACTGTCATGGCTTAGTCCCAGCTGGGAACTCAGTCCCAAGCAGCCGCTCGCTGCTCCCAGTAGGATGGGGAGGAGAATCAGGAAAAGCTAAAACCTGTGGTTTTTAGCTGATATTAGTGCTACTACTAATAGTAACGAAAGGGGGAGAGAGAGAAACAAAACCCAAGATAAACCAGTAATGCCCAACAGTCACTCACCACCCCTCTGATCCATGCCCAGCCCGTACCCCAGCAGTGACCAGCGGCTCCCGGACACCCCACCACTACCACTCTGTTTCTACACTGGGCAGGAGGTTTTGTGATACAGAACTTCCCTCAGGCCAGTTCGGATTGGTTCTCCTGGCCATGCTCCCCCCTCAGTGGCAGAGCATAGGACACTGAAAAGTCCTTGACTTGGAGTAAGCACGACTGAACACCAATTCCAGCATGTGTGCTACCAGCGTTGTTCTCCTGCCCAATCCCAAGCACAGTGCTGGACCAGCTTCTGGGAAGAAAATTAACTCTATCCCAGCCAAAATCAAGACATTCAGCAACCCGGAAACTCCCTCCCTGCAAGCCCTGACCCTCGCAGTCCCCACCTCCCTCAGTCACCCTTCAGCTCTCCCTGAACTCCTGGTCTCACCAACAGCCCCCTGCGACCCCTGCAACGCTCCAGCCACCCCTTGTGTCCCCCCACAAGCCCCCAGTGAAACCTCAGTGACAAGCCCCAGACCGACTCACGCCTTTGGCTGCCTGAGGGTCATGA